CAGACCCGACCAAGAAGAATCCCATCAGCCAGATGTGCTTACATGCGCATGGCTCGTACCATGTGGAGTGGTGCGTTTCTGTGAAGTTGTTGCTATGGGGGAAGGACAGGGGGGGATGCTAGGTGGCCAAGGGGCTATGTGTTATTTTCTTTCTGCCCTGCTATAGGTTGAATTATGGCCCCCTCAAAAGTATGTCCAAGTCTTAATTCCTGGAGCCTGTGAATGTGATCTTATTTGGGAAAAGGGTCTTTATACAGGACTTAAGTGAAGGATCTTGAGCTGAGATCATTATGGAGTAATCAAATGGCCCCAAATTCAGTGACAAGAGTCTTTATAAAAGAAAACACAGAACAGGAGAAACCCAGAGAGGGCAGTCAGGTGACAACGGAGGCAGAGCTGGGAGTGATGCGGCTGTAAGCCCAGGAACATCAGGGATTGCCTGGGGCCAAAGCAGAGGGCAGAGGTGAGGAAGGACCGATTATTCCCTAGCATCTTCAGAGGGAGTGTGGCCCTGCTGACACCTCTGCTTCAAACTTCTACCCTCTGGAACTGTGAAACAATACATTTCTGTTGTTTTTAGCCACCAAATTGTGATTTGTTGCAGCAGCCTAAGAAACTAATATACGACCACACATTTTTATGGCTGTCCCTCCCCTGGGGGGACTGTTAATCACTATCTAAGATAGGTCACACTAAGACCAATAGGTGACCTATTAAAATATCCAGTCCCCTTGATCACAGTGATTTGAGGATGGTCACTGCAATGGACTGAATGTTCATGTGTCCCCCAAATTCATACATGGAAATCCTAACCTCCAGTGTGATGATATTTAGAGAAGGGCTTCTGGGAGAGCATTTGGTCATGAGGGTGGGGCCCTCATGCCTGGGATCAGTGCTCCCATAAACGAGACCCACAGAGTCCCCTTTCCCCTTCTGCCCTGTGGGGATGGAGCAAGAGGACAGCTCTCCATACGCCAAGCAATGCGCTCTCTCCACACACTGAGGCCGCCTGTGCCTTGATATTGAACAGCCTCCAGAATTGTGAAAGATAAATGTTTATTTGTTTAAGTCATCCAATCTTTGGTACTTCTGGCAAACCAAAGAGACTAAGATAGTCACATGACCCAAAGGAGGCAATTAGTTATCCTTTGAATTTGTATAGCTGTTGGCAAAGAAGTATTTCTTGCTCTGAAATTGGTAGATGCAAGGACAGTGTAGATACAGGCCATGGGTAGCCATTTCTGCCACCCCACAGGGAGATATCCTGAGCCTGAGAAGGAAGCCAACAGAGAAGTAAGCAGGGCCAAAGGTGTAAAGGGAGACACAGGTATTCCGACCATTCCCAGCCCTACACACGGCCATACCTAAATACACATTTCCCTCCAGACTTTTTGGGCAGTAAATTCATCTTTTTTGCATAGGTCAGAGTTGGGGTAGTCACTTGCAACCTCCTAGGTTCTGATCTGCACATTCTGTCAGATATCTAGTCCCAGCCTCTGCAGAGTCCAGCAGAAGGAGAGGTCCCACTGGGTGATAGGGATACGGCTCCTGACAGGTATGGCTCTCATGGTCTGGGCCATTGGACCATCCTTAGTTCACACAGCTGGACAGTCAGTCAGTTGCCTTATTTGAAATGCTTGATCAGCAGAGACTGGGAACAAAAATCTCAGCCATTCCAAAGAGCAGATTCAGCAGCAGGTAAATTTCAAGTACAGGAGGTAAAATTGCATCATAACAAACAATGAAGGTGTATGTAAAACATGCAGATTTGCTTCTGTTCAGCCACAGAATCAGAATGACAACCACCCCCTGGGGAATATGACACTTTCTCTGGCCTTGCCACATCACCTCCCACCAATCCTATCCCCAAGCCCCAATGTGCTCCAGGTTGAGGAAGGCACTGCTGGCCACAGAAAGCCGAGTCTACTGCGATTTAACAAACAGCTACCCACCGAGAGTCTCCAGTTCCTACCTCAAGCCTTAAATCCTGATGAACTTTCTACCTCCCCAGGCCAAATGCAAAAATACAAAGAAATCAGAAAGCCCAGAGAAAAGAGGAGGCAGGAGAGAGAAGGGACACACAATGCTTAGCTCCTTGGGAGTGACTTAGGAAGGAACAGCTGCTTCACCCTCAGTGGGCTAGATGTGCAGCTTCTAAATGTCTGATGATTAAGGCCAATTGATACTTCTATTAAAAAAATCATATATACACTGAAGAGTTGTTACAATGGACCTCAACTTGATGCATAGGCTTTGTGAGTGAGAGGTAAAAGTTTCTGAAAAACAGTGCATTCCTTTACTATTTATAGAGCATCTTCCGTGTGTCAGCAACATGCCTAAGTAGTAGAGCTGTTAATGGGGAAAGAGGCAAGTGAAATTGTGATGACAGTACCAGGCAGGTGGGGTCTGGGAGGTGTTGCCTGTGCTGAGTCTTCACAGACAACTGGAAGTTAGCCCCAGGAGGAGGGCAGAAGAGGACACTGCTGGTGAAGGCACATCCGGAGGCACGAACCTGCTGCAACCCGAGTGGTTGGCCAGCCTGGAGTAAAGATGGAGAGGGGCTGGAAAGGTAGGTAAGGCTTTGATCAGGAAGGGTCATGCAATTACCTGGAGGAGTGCGAACTTTGTCTAAAAGCTCTGGGAGCACTGAGAGCAGAAGGATGCCGAGAGAGGACGCTGACAGTCCTCCAGGGGAGGATGGAAGAGGAGAAGGTCCTCAAGGGCACTTGGTTAGATATGTGAGAGAAGCAACAACGGCTTTTCCCAATGGTAAAGGGAATGAGAGGGAGGGAGTTCAGGAGCTAAAGGAGGCAGACTCCCCAGGGCATGATTCCTGACGGAACTGTGAAAGGGGGACTCCAAGGCAATTACTAGATGCCCTTTTTCTGGCACGAGCACTGGGGTAATGGTGACATTCCTGAAAGTAAAGGACACAAGAAGGGTAAGTCTTGGAAGGGCGCGATGCATTTGGCTCTAGAACGCTCAGGAGGAGAAGCCTCTGGGACAGCCACCAGCATGGGTCCAGGAGAAGCTGGACCTTCAGGACCAGATGTCAGGAGGGAGATCTGCATGGAGGAGGGAGGGCTGGGAGCTGTAAGCTCATGCACGGCTGAAAACACCAAGGGCAGGGAAGAGGGCAGGAAGGGCAGTGGGCAGGACAGAGAGACTCAGGGAACATTCTGGAAGTAAGAGGACAGGAGGTCTCTGCAAAGGAGATGGAAAAAACTGTCCAGCAAAGCAAGGTAGAGACCTAGACAGTAGAGCCACCTTGAGAGCAAGGCTCAAGATGCAGAGGTGGGCCATGGCACCCATGCTCCAGAAAGATGGGGTCAGATCAGGGAAGAAAGACACTGGGTGGACCTGGTGTGTGGGTGTCTTTAATGACTTCGGTCTGGGCATTTGATCATGGGAGCACAAAGCAGATTGCAGTGGGTGATGGAGGACTGAGTGGGCAGGTAGGCAGTGTAGATAGCTCATGCAGACGATTCTTTCGGTAAGCTTGGCTGTGAAGGGAGAGCAAAGGGAAACTGAAAAACGTTAGAGATAAGGGATTAAGAATGGGGTATTTTTCACGTTGGAGACATCAACCATGTTGAAAGATTGAACACAATGAGAAATATTGGTAGAGAAGAGGCTGAAGGTGTGAGCGATAGAGAACAACAGCTGGAGGAAGGTTCCAGGGGAGGTGGAGGGCATCTGGAGCCCGAGGGGAAGGTCAGCCGCGGGAGGAACATACCTCTTCCCTGGCATGGGTGGGATTGAGAAGAAGAGAAGAGATACTGGGTGGTTGCCAGGAGGCCGAGAGAGTTTCCTGGGGCCTCAATGTTGTTCAGCTTTATCAATGGACAGGATGGCTTCTCTGTCAGTGATGATGACAGACAATGAAATGGAGGTTCAAAAAAGCATTGATGAAAGAAGAACATTCGGGAGGAGGTACCAGTGACAGTGGGACAGGGAAGTAGGTAGGAACATCTGGAAGATTTTCCTGGCAGCCTAGGAAATAAT